TGGGCTATCAGGCAAACCTTAAATTCCTAGATACACTCTACTTTTTGTAGGGTTTTGTGGTTCTCCCAGGGAAAGACCTCGAATATTGAGCCCCGAGCTTGCCGGAATGCTTGCATAAAGAAACAGGGAGGTTTGCGTTTCAGGAGTTTCGGTCTTAGGGCCTAGGCCTAGGTCCTAGGTCTAAGAGTTTGAGATGACAGTAGGGTTTCAGGGGTTCTAGGGAAATTATACAGGGTCTCCGCAAGCTTCCAACGACAAGCTCTGACCGTGAACGCTTGAGGGTGCCCAACCACTGAACCCTGCCTCTATCATCAAATGCCCAACTCATAAGCCTCACAAACCCCTAAGCCTAAATAGCGACCCTAAACCCAAAACCCCTAACCCCGAAATACTGACCATTTAAATCACACGCAGCGCATTCCTTAGGGGTACTTAGAAATAATTTTCAATTCTTTGTTATTTAAATCCCAAAGAAACAGCTAAAATTACAATTTTTGCTGGGGTTCTAAGTTCAGTATAGATTGCCTGCAGACGCCGAATCTGACCCTCAAAACCTTTGAGGAAACCAAAGCCCTACACACGGAGAAGTCCCAAATCGAATGCAAGTTTTGAGTATCTAAAACTCTTTTACGATTGCGTTCAAGCTTCAGGACTAGCTTTTTTGTCCCGCCCGAATAAACCTTGTAACCCACTTCTGTAACCGTTACGAGAACCGTATGCAGCGAATGAGAGGCTTTACCTTAAAGCTGGAACCCCTTAATTAAACTCCCTAAACGTCCTAAACCCATTCAACCCTCAACCCCCTTTGACCCTTCCCCTTGCAGAGGTCTTAGCCGTGCTTGGCAAGTCCTCCACGGAGTTCTTCTTCACGTACCCAGAGTTCGAGAAGGCTGGATCCTGCTTTCAACACCGAGTGTAAACCTTTGGGGTTTAGAGGTTTAGGGTTCAGGGACAGCCCTCAGGGCTCTTTCGGTTCAATAGTTTCACATATTACAATAGGAGCCCTAATATTCAGACCCTGCAAGACACAAGTTGTTTTATCCGGGGTCTGTGTTAATGAACATGATCTTCTTCAGGGCTGTGCATCAATAGCAACATTATCCATCTGGATCCCATATTTATCATCAACAAACTACAACATGACATGCCAGAGAATCCTTTTCTAGCAAGCCCCCATAAAAGGAAGGCTCCCGGACTTCGCCTAGCAAGGCCGTTGGTGAAGGCCTGTCGATACAAATCTTAGCTATATAACCCGAACTAAAGTAGTTATAAACCTTGTTTACTGCTGTCCCCTGATACTCTTCGTAGGAGGGACCCTTGACATGAGTTGAAGTTTGTTTTCAAATTATACTGCTTTCCAAAGTAACTAAGGGGTTTCACCTCGCTAACTCAGTCTTTCAGTGCACAACAAAGCTTTCTACAACAGAAAAACCATACTTCAAGGGCTGGCCTATGTTTCCCGCCTGAGGTGCAGTACACAGCATGCAGAGTAAGCAATAAAATCGTCAACATCAGCATCGCCTCCTCCAGCAACTACACGGATATGTATGCACAAAAGCCATGTTCCTCTGCATCATTCCGGCTTTCACAGGCCTTTGTCGCCCCTCTTCCGTTGGTGCTCCATTCAGAGCTGCTTTGGCCCATTCCGCCTGCGACAGCCTCAGAACCACCTTCGTTCTCTATGGACATGTCGAGTCTTATCATCATGAAAGTAATAACACGTCGTGCAAAAACCAAAACAGAACACAGGATGTTCATAAACATAGGAATGGAAATCAACGGTACTGATGTTAACAACGAGACTTGGTCCAGCCACGACCGATGTCCCCAAGCCTGAAGATGTTGTCGTCGTCTTGCAGAGGTCGTGTCAGGGTTCCCAACCAGACTTCAGTATCCCTGCAAGCCCTAAACCCTAGACCCAGATTTCGGGTTCCCTTCTTTAGGATGTCTAATAGGGGGTTTCCGAAAATTCGGGGTACCTTATTTTTGGGGGGTTCTTATAATAAGGATCCTTGTATTTAGGGTACTATGTTAGGGTCCCCTTTTTTCGGAAACTCCCAGTATGAAGTAGAAGAACATAGATTTACCAGGGTCCTAGATTTGGCCCCAAGCTGCTTTTTGCCGAGGTTCTGCGGTTTGGGGGGGTGTTGGAAGTTTCAGGGTTGGGTTGGGGGGTTTAGGGTGTTTTTTCGGGATCAGGGGTTTGGTCTTACCTTAAGGACGAAATGAACCCTAAAAAAGGTTCATATATCATATAGGGAATCATAGTATATGAGTATAGGGCCCCTACTTTTAAGGGACATTTGGTCCTTCAGGTAGGGGTTTGGATTTAGGGGTTTGCCAAACGGCAGGCCTTTGAATAGATACGCTCAACGAGCCACACGGCATGGTGAGACATGCAGGTATAAGAGGAGGTTGCGTCGGTTTCTACTATTCTTTTTGAGCCCTTCTATGAATAGTGATGGCTTAGTTCCCTAACCCTAAGCCCCACATACCCTAAGCCCCTCAACCACCCCCTTTCTGGTAATTGCAAGCTAGTCCCTCACGAACCTCACGTATGCTGATGCTTAATGTTTGCAGTTAGCCTCAAAGTCTCTTGAGCCATTCCCTATACCACAAGCCCCGACCCTTAGGGGTACCTAGAAAGCTGTTTTTTTGGTTCCTTGAATCCCTAAGAAACAACTAGAAGATATAATTGTTGGGATCTAAGTTCAGTATAGGGCCCTGAAGCTCTTCCTTGTCCTTCTGAGCACAAGGCTCTGTCTTATTGACGACCATGGAGGCCGACACAACGCTGCGTTGACGTGTCGTTGACGGTTAGTTCAGAAGACTGTGCGACTCCAAGAGAAACCGCGCTTTCCACCCCAATCCCTACACTGTGCTGTGTGCATTTAGGTTAGGGATTTGATCATGGTGATGACAATGATTCCGGTGATGGTGGCCTTGATCTGTTCTTATTCGTCGTGGTGGGTCGCACCGCTCCGTGCCCAGGGATCGGTTCAATGCATCAGCAAGCTTGTTTCGAGATGTTTATTTTGGTTTGTGCAGTCTGTGGGGAAGAAGCTTCCAGCACAAAACACGATTATATAGAATTCCGCGGCTGGGGAGTGTGCTACTGAAGCGGTCGAGACACGTTTAAACACGAGAAAGCTGCGCCCACAGGTCGCAAAAAACGTGACCCAGTTGGTTGTGTCACCATGTTGCGCATCCTGCCTCGGACTTGGTTTCATTAAACCCTAAACCCTAAACCTCGTTTTCCCCGCGGGAAGTCCCAGCAGTCGGAGGGGGTCAGAACTTTACATCAGCCCTTTCCCAGGTTCAACATGAGTTTGAATTAGGGCCTAGTAGTCGAGTAGGTAACCTTTCACCTTTTTTGGGTGGTATAGCCCCTATATAATCCCTATATACCCAAAGAGGTTAACCCTTACTTCGCCATGATACCCGACAAGTAGGAGGGTTTGGTGTTTTCTGCTGGTAGAGGAAGCCACTGGCTTCTCCACAGCCTCGAAGCCGAGTATAGAAGCATAAGTTTACATCGTCGCTGTTCCTCAAGGCTCCTCAGTACACTTAAACTATGATGTATCCAAAGACGCTATTCTGGTCACTAAGGCCTCCTATGTTATCCATAAGAGTGACCTGAAAAAAACACTCAAAGGAACCATCGTAGCAACCCCCTTGAAGGCGGGAAGGAACCCTGTTCTCACTATGAAGGCCCCGATACTAAACCCCAACACATAATCTGATAGTAACCCCTGCTACCCCTTCAAGGAACTTTCATGGTAACCCTCTGAAGCAACGTAAAGGAACTGTACTGCGCGGCCCCTAGAAACCCTCAGCCCCAAACCCCGAAGCATCCCTAAATCCAAAACCCTAAACCCAAGTCTACTTGTTATGGCACGTATATCAGACGACAGCCGTTCGCAGGATAACAGTCTCACCGGGAATCCCAAAGTGGGATTCCGAATTTGCCAGTTTCGCATCTGAAAAGTAGGTGGTTGTCAAAATTAGGGTCCCTTACTTCTGAGGTACCTTAAATATTAATTAGGTGCCGTATTATACTAAGGACCCAAAAAGGGACCATAATTTGACAACCACCCAAGTGACTTCTGAGGGTGAAGGGCTCAGGGCTTGAGTCATTTTGTCCTCGTTTCCGAGACCACAGCTGCTGCTCTGGTAGAAATACTCAGAAGCAATGAAGTCGTAGTCGTGGTGGCGGTGGTGGTGGTGGTGTTGGTGGTGTTGGTGGTGGTGGTAGTGTGGTGGTGGTGGTAGTGTTAGTAGTGCAGCAGCGAGTGGTAGCAGATGTTGCTGTCGCTGTCGCTGTGGCTCTTGCTGTTGCCGTGGCTGTTGCTGTTGCGTTTGCAGTGGTGGTTCTGTTGGCTGTTTACTGCTATCACTACCGGCAATGCTGTTGCTGCTGTTTCTTCGATGGAAGCTTAATGAAGCAATTGTCGGACTGCGAGCTGCGGCTGTGCTAGTACAGGTAATGTAGGAACCTGACTAAGAAATCTTGGGCCTTTATCAGGGTTCCTTATATGAATCCTATAATTTTGGGGTTATAGGGCCAGGGTTTCTTTATCAGGTTCCTACATTAATCCCCCACATGCGCTGGACACACACCGGCTTGCTCAAACAGCTGAGTGGGGGGGCGAGGTTCAGTTCACACGCAGGAGCTTGATCCAACTCGACCCCGGAAACTGCATACAAGCTCCACACGCCGCTATGCGCAAGCTCTGCCACCTTAGCCCCCAAACTCTTAAGCCCAGACCTGATAGCCTAGCTCAAAACCTCCAACTTCAGCCAGACCCCAAAACTGGAGCCCTTGCAGGGAAGAACCCTTATAGGCCTTAACTATAGATCCCTCAAAGGAGTCCTGAAGGGAGCCCTTACTTGCTTACTTAAAGGAATCCTTCATAGCCCGAAGTCCCAGCATCTGCAGACCCCGACGAGGGTAGGACCCTCGCAACTGGTCGAATGCGGCTGGACGCTTTGGCCACTCCATGGCCACACCCTTAGAAGCCGAAATGAAAGCGATAGCTCTTAACAAATATGGGTTTTAGGTTACTTCAGGGCTTTTGGGTTTGGGGGTTTATTTGGGTTTAGGGTTTACTGGTTTGTATTTCTTTCTTCATGATTTTGGGTTTGGGGTTTTAGTTTTAAGTGGTTTGGGGGGTTCAGGATGTAGGGTTTAGGGCTAAAGTCTGTATTATAAGAGGTTACTGTACTGGTTGTATACAACTAGCGTGTTTATAATGGTCAGGGGTTTTGATACCTTGGATAAAGGTTTTTGAGAGGGCTAAGAGTTCATCAGGGTTGAATGAGCCTATACAACTGTTCAAAGGCCTGTGATAGTGTGATCTGTAACAGCTCGTTGGTAGGGTTTAGTTATTTGCAGGTTTCCTGTTGTCAGGGGTCGTTTCTGGCTATCCAAACTTGAATTCTGAAACCGAAACCGGAAGTCACACACTCGTAACAGCACTCAAAAAAGGAGCCCACAAAAAATAGAAGCGACATCAAAGACCTTGAAACCCAACCCTAAACACTAAACCCTAGCCCTAATCTTTATAAAACGTCCAGAGAGGGGAGCCGGTGTCTTCGAACAATGAGAGCTCTAATCTTAGAGGGGTTTACAGGGTCTGTGCGCGTATAAAGGTTCTATTGGGTTTTATACATGGGTGGTTGTCAAAGTTATGGTCTCTTTCTGGGTCCCTATTACAATACGGCACCTTACCCTTAGGATACCCCCAAAGGGACCCTAATTTTGACAACTACCCACATGGTAATATGGGAGCCTTGAGAATTGGAATTCGCCTTGTCTGAGGGGTTTATTCTAGCGTACCTAGGAGACGGAGACTACAGGGGCATGATAACTCAGATCCATGTGGGTAGTTCTCTACGAGACTGCAGGGGCATGATCACTCAGATCCATATGGATAGTTTTCTAAATTAGGATCCTGTTTAGGCCCTCAAAAGAGTACTGCACCCTTGTAAAAAAGATCCTAAAAAGGCGCCATCCTAATTGAGAGAACTGCCCATGTATCAGCCTTAATCCGCAAAACCTCAGCAGTGAGAGCCATGGAACTTTAGGGAATAAAACCCCACCCCCGGACCCTGAGAGTTTTCTGGTGCATAAAGGAGAGCATAAAGTTCGAGCCAATGAGAATGATAGCCCGAAGCCCTAAACTCTACAGAACCCTAACCCCCAAACCCCAAACCCTAAACCCTAAACCTGAACCCTAAACCCTAAAACCCTAAACCCTAAACCTGAACCCTAAACCTGAACCCCAGCTCATCCGGTGATGCCGGCCCAGGCCGCAACAGCCTGCCTTTTGCCAAGTCTGGTGCGTTTTGGGTTTTATAGGGTTTATAGGGCTTATAGGGTTTATAGGGTTTAGGGTTTTAGGGTTTATAGGGTTTAGGGTTTGGGGTTTATAGGGTTTACGGTTCAGGGTTCGGGGTTTGGGGTTTAGGCTTTCCGCTATGAAACGGGTCTGTCAGGGTTTCAAAGCGTTTTACGCGGTGCGGGGGATTTGGTAGGGACTTCGTGGGTTTGGGGTTGCAGGGTGTGGGGAACTCGTTTGAGCATGTGGCCTTGGAAACTTCGAAGGCTACGTCTTGTCCATCGATAAACCCTAGACTTTCCTTATAGGATCCTTGGGGAATAATGGGGATTACTAGGTTACCTACCCCCCTTGGACCACCCCCCCTTAAGGACATCCTAATTTCCCCCTAAACCTAAACCTAAACCCCAAACTCCTAAGACTCCTAAACCCTGAACGGTAAGCCCAGATTGGAGGATTAGTCTCGAGCGTGTTGAGGTTCAAGGATGTGGTCGAGTCCTAGCATCCTCTTATGAATTGAGGGTTAACGTAAACTACTTAGGGATCATGGGACTTGGTAAGTAGGCTATAATTGGGGGGTATAAGTCCCCTGAGTGGGTTATCCTAATCATAACCTACTTGTAACCTTACTTACTAAGTGCCATAAACCTTTAACCTGAATAGTGACCTTTTGCTCTTTGTAGTTTGGGTGTACCCTCATTAAAACTGACTATGAGGAGAAAAAAGGTAATTACCTGCATTGCTAAAGAGTTACTGAGGAATCTAGCAAAGGTCACGAACAATACTCCCGCTTCACCCCGATATTGCATGACTATGCAGCACGTTTCCCCCAACCAGTAGTTCAATTATTCAAGCCGGGCCCGTCAGGATTCATCCAAAACCCAGAACCCTAAACCGAGGGCCCTGAACCCAATACGTTTCCAAACCATACATTCGAGCCCTCCTGGGAGGAGGTTTTATTCTATCCGATTCTATCCTATTCTGTTCTATGACTTATTTGTTTTCATGGGAGTTTCCGACAATTCGGGTTACCTCATTTTTGTTGGGGGGGTCCCTCATAATAAGGCTCCTACTATTTAGGGTCCCCGCCCAGTTTCGGAAACTATCATGAACTGTAAGGTCGCTGTCTCTGCAACACCGACTGGTACCAGGAGGAGGCGTGGGGGTGGAGGGTGGTTGGGGGTGGGGGGGTGGGGGTGTAGGGGGTGGGGGTGTGGGGGTGGGGGTGTGGGGGAGGAGGCGTGGGCGAAAGAAAATTCTCAGAAAGTTCTGGGTGGGAGCTTTTAGGGTTTACAATAGAAGCCTCAAAGTTGGAAGCCCGATAGCCTCAATCCTTGAGAGTATAATGTATAGGGAATGCCAGCTCTATTTGGCTTTATCCCGGTTTCCAACTTTATGGGGTTTACTGTAAGGTAGGGTTGGCGGCGGTTGTCGTCACAAGAGTTCTACGCGGTGAGGTACTGCATTGCAAACAAGGTCGAGGCAGTTAATGAATCTGGGTCAAGACACGTTAAAGGTTTGGGCAACGACATGTGCGACCAAGATAAGGCAGCTGGCAGCACCCTAAACCCCCACACCCTACTGGAAACCCTAAACCATTTAAACCCTGAACTCCTAAGCCCTAAACCCTCCCCCATCCTACACCCAAACCCGAAGCCGGGGGCCATGACTATGGCACTGCCAGAGCTTTGGCCCTCATGCATCTTCAAGGATGCCCCTGGCCTTCATCGCGTTCTTCGGGAACTGCAAGTGGACGACCACGCGTGGATCTCCTTCGCGCCATTGCTCGCGCAAGGGCCAGAAGGCCTGGTTCATCCCGTGGCCTTTGTTTAGGGTTTATATAGGGTTTAGGGTTTATAGGGTTTAGGGTAGGATGTCTCAAGCGCCGCCGACGACACCACAAGTGAGCGGGAGCCCGGAACCCTCGGCATTTTCGCAGGCGGGACTTCTCGTCCACGACATGGAGCTGTTGTTCAGGGACACGCAACATTGGAGGAAGCTCCGATCATCGCCGATCAACGTTTGCATGCACGCCACTGCGGTGGATTCTTGGTTCGCATGACCTCGAGGGAATGCAGCGCCCGGCTCTCGCAGACTAGCGCTTCTGGCAGGTCCTGACCCCTTCTCTCCGGTGTTTTGGAAGAGGAGTGAGGCAGTAGCGAGGGCGAAGCTGTAGGTTTGATAGAGAAGCCATGAGTAACTGCTTAATCACGCTGTTCGCCAGGGCTCTTTATCACAAGTATACTCAACAATTAAGAATCCTCCTACAGTCCCAGTATGCTGTATTCTTGCAGCCAGCAAATGGCGAACTATTTCTAGAACGCTGTCTATACACCGAGAAACCCCCACAAAACCCTCATGAAGAGGAAGTCGCCCATCAAGTCCTGTAAACCCAACACAATGTAAGCCCCTCCATAAATCAGTGCAGAGCCTCTGCAGACCACAAAAAGTCCCAAGCCCTAAACCCTCCGCCCCAACCCCTCCGCCCTTCACGCTACACCTTAAACCCTGATCCCTAAACCCTCAACCGAGAAACCCGAAGCCCTATATCCCAAAAGCCCCAAGTCCTAAACCCCAAACTGTCCTCAACCTCAAACGCCCCAAGCCCCAAAAGTGCTAATCCCTGAACCCCACACGAACCCTATAAACCCTGTAAACCCCAACCCTAATTCCCAAATGAACCCTATAAACCCCTATACCTTAAATTCCTGTTTAGAACCCTATAGAGCCCTACTGTAAAGCCTTGAATTGCGAGTCAGAGCCCTATGAACCCCTAAACCCCAAACCTTGCGCCTTCCTTTTTGCAGGGGCCGGACATTGAGTTCGATGGCCTCGGCGGTGCAATGGCTCCGGCCGAGACCCTAGCAAGCTCACAGGTGTTTTGGGTGCAGGGCCTCAGTGTTGTATTGGGTAGTGCTCTATGTTAAGGTCCATTTTGAGGGTCCCGTAGAGGGATCTATGAGGGATATTGCAGATTTAGGGTCCTTTAAGGGTTCAGAGTTTAGGGTCTAGGGCTTGGGTGCTTTAATGGTGCTTCGGGGCATTTGGGTTTCAGGGTTTTGAGGGTTTGGAGGTTTGCAATTTAGGATTTAGGGAGGTTGCGGTTAAGTGGTTTTGGGAGGTTGAAGTTTTAGGGGCTTGTTAGGGGGTTTAGGGTTTAGGGTTGGGGGCTGAATGCTGCTGATTTAAGGAGTGGGGGTTAGGGTTTAGGGCTTGGCTAGGGCGTGTGGCCCGGGCTGAAGGTTTCACAAGGGTCTTGTAGGTCCGATGCATGCAGGGCGGGCTTCTCCCAAGATAAAATCCCCAAACCCGAGGGTGACATAGTAGTTGTTCAAAACGCCCTTCCCTAAATCGCCACAAGGCAGTCCCATGTTTCAGATGTACTGTTACAAAGCACAACCCGGCATATGATCGTAGAAAGCGCTTATGAAAAAAGCATGAGAGATGGCTGAAAACGAGGATTTCTAGAACTAATGGACCACTGGAGTTCACGGAGCCTAAACCCTAGCCAAGGAAGCCTAAACCAGAACACTAAAGCGGACACCTGCTTGATACAGCCACTAAGAGGGCTCAATGTGGGGCCCATTAGACGGTTGTTTATAGCCTGAGCCGCGTGAACCATAAGTTCGATGTGCACAAGTGCTCTCACATGAGGTTACCTGGTACCCATACAGCCTTCTTCTGGATGCTACCCACATCCCTGAAACCCCAAACTTCGAATCCCAAACGCATAAACTTACCCTAAACCCAAACCTCCTAAACTTAGACACCAAAACCCGAAACCCTAAATCCCAAACCGCCTAAACTTCAAAACCCAAACCCTAAACAGCCCTAAACTCCAAACCTCGCCTAACAGCTACCCAGATCCAGCCCGCCCGCTTTTCCGACTTGCTCGCCTACTCGACAGACATGGTGCGGCGTGCCGGGAGAATTAGTAAAGGCATCGCCTAGTGGTTCTCAATACAAGTATAGTATATAATATATACTCCGAACCCCTATTCTTATTGAAGGTATCCTCTAATTCTTAATACAATTATAGTTTGGTATATTTGCCCCAAAACCCAATTCTTATTCAGGTCCCTAAATCAATAAGCATGCGTGCGTGTGCATCCTCTGCTAGAGGGTACCTACAGCCTCAAGCGTCTTAGTAAGTAAGGTTGTGGGTAACGTTATAATCCGGATAACGCTACTTAGGGCACTTATAGCGTTACTTATAAATTCCCTAGAGCCCTGGAATGCACTAAAACAGGAAGAGGATGTTGAGCATCACAGTTGCTACCTCAATGAAGCAAGCTGTTCCTGGCAACGACCATCTTTGTGAGGCAACCCAGCACGAGGTAGCACAACAGTCACCAGCTCTGCTCACTGAAGTTCACAGCACGAATGACGACAAACAGTACTTGGGATTCCCAAGCCGAGGCATAGGTTAGCGTAGACTCATAACCCGTCTGCCTGATTCGTCATGCTATTCCCTGCTTCTACCTGCAGGGTGCAGGCGTTTGCATCACCCCAGTTAATTACCGTGTACGTGCATTCAGTATTCCAGTCTCTTGTGCCACGCATTTTGCTCTTAGAAAGCCAGTAGGAGAACTTTCATCTTTGACCTGCCATATATTATTTGTCTATTTGGTCTATTATTGAAAGTCTGGATTTTTTTCGGTTCGCTAGGCCGAGGATGCATGTGGTTAGACGCATCTTCCATGGGCATTCTACATTGCTGTCCATCGCGGAAGCGGACATCCGGAAGGACAGCAATCAGTCCATAGAGCTCATTGCGCTTCCGACTTCGCGTACAGGCTGACAACACAAGCCGTGAAGTCAAGAACGGGATGGTCTTGAGATGGCTATGCTGACAAGTATCACCTTCACTTTTGAGCTCTGCCGAATGCCGTTTCCTTCGACCTGGCCATTCCCATGAGGATATCGACCAGATGTTTGGGTCTTTAGCCTGCTCTTGGACCGGACAGCATTGCAGTGTGGCAGCCCGAACTTACCTTGGTCCATGCCATCCAAGATGATACAAATGTCTAAGGATCGCTGTCGGCTCAGTCCTCTCGCTCTCTAATACTGTACCCGGTCCTCGAATTGGGCTTTGAGATGTTGGTAGTACATAAGCTACTGACTCCTATATCTCGTCATGCAGGAATAGACCAGGCCACTTAAGGTCGTTCGTAGGGGACCCCAGATAAACGGATGTTCCATTTAGCCCTAAGCGCTAAACGTATCTGGGCTTAAATCCTACCAACACCCCTCAAGTGCCCTTTAATGGAGCCCTTATGGTCCTTATTAGTGGGTATTTAGGATATAATAGAGGGTAGTTAGGGGGACTAGGTAATGCCTCGAAGTATCTGGTAAATAAACAAACCCTACCCTGCATCCGAAACCTTCCGTTTCTGAGAATCCCAAACAGGGCCAACCGCTTCGTGGCCAAAGCCTCCGCTCCGGCGACGTGTGGTTCCTGCGGTCTGAGGCCAGCAGCGGCAAAAGCCACCCTGCCATCCATGCCAGTCTATGCCCGTGCATGTGAGGATACGTTTATGTGTATGTGTACATGTGTATGTAACATGTAAGCATGGGTTAAACATGTACAAGTATGCATGCAGGTAGGTAGATAGGTAGGTCGTACGTAGTGTATGTATGTGTATGTATATGTACATGAGTATGTACATGTTTGTGTTTATGTTTTGTACCCATGTACGCATGGAAGTATGTACATATTTACGTATGTACGCATGTATGTATGCATGTACAGGGGTGTACCTATGTATGTATTTACGTTCATGTATGTACATATGTACATATGTATTTGTATATGGCGGTGTCTCCGTCTCACTCCCCCGCTCTCTCTCTGTCTCTCTTTTTCTCTTACTGTGTCTCTGACTGGCATCCTGGGTTCAGGAATTCGGGGTTTCTGGGACGGGCTGCCTGGTTCAGAAGTTGAGGTTGACCTGGAACCTCGAGTTTTTACAAGTAGGGCAAAACTTCCCGAAGCTCCCAAAGCTGTGCACTGCAGTTTTTTGCGTAGTCATAGGCAGCTAGAATGTGTGGGGCTTAAAGGTTTAGGATTGTTAGTTTCTTTTGTGTGAGTCCTCCGTAAACCCGACACCCTAAAAGCATAAACCCTAAATATTAAACATTGGCTCAAGCAATTTGATCAGCACTGTGACCAGGTCTCTGGGCATTCCGCAGCAGCCAATGCATGGGGGACACGCCAGTCCCTCATGACCAGTTGTCGACTTTCAAAAGATGGGCTGCTGCGGTGGACCGAGCAGGTGGGTGGTCATATGCAAGACCACTGGTTGCGGCCTACCCGAACTATCCATTGACGATGAAGTACCTGCTGGAATGCACTGGAGACTTGGTGTTTGACAAGAAGCTGCAAATTCATCCGGCTATATGAGGAGTTAGAAACCAGACCAGACGTCCCAGAAGCAATCCTTGCTGGAATCCACAACATCAGAACCAAAATGCCGGTCCGAAGGAAGATGCAGCATCCACTCATAGGGGTGACTGGCCTGGCATTGTCTAGATGCAAGAAGATCCGCTGCTTTGTCGCTGACTTCCATGCAATTGCTTGGATGTACGGGCAGATGGTTGCGGGAGCTATCTGGACAACTCCTGCTGCTGATTACCGATTACCTTCTTTAAGCCCCTAACCTAAACCGCTGACCTGAACCCGACAACCCCTGCCTAAACTACCAAAACCCATTTTCTTGTGGGGCGGGGTCTCATTATAAACCTTAATGTCGGATTTTAGGGACCCTGCAACAACGTAAGTAAGCCCGAAGCCCCTAAGCCCTAAGCCCTAAAACCGACCTGAACCCTAAACCCGAAATCCTAAACCCTAAACCCTCAACCCTAAATCCTAAACTCTAAACCCTAAATCCTAAACCCTAAACCCTCAACCCTAAGTCCTAAACTCTAAACCCTAAATCCTAAACCCTAAAAACCTTCAACCCTAAATCCTAAACTCTGAACCCTAAATCCTAAACCCTAAAAACCCTCAACCCTAAGTCCTAAACTCTAAACCCTAAATCCTAAACCCTAAAAACCTTCAACCCTAAATCCTAAACTCTGAACCCTAAATCCTAAACCCCCTAAAAACCTAAACTCAACCCTAAATCCTAAACCCTAAACCCTCAACCCTAAGTCCTAAACTCTAAACCCTAAATCCTAAACCCTAAAAACCTTCAACCCTAAATCCTAAACTCTGAACCCTAAATCCTAAACCCTAAAAACCCTCAACCCTAAGTCCTAAACTCTAAACCCTAAATCCTAAACCCTAAAAACCTTCAACCCTAAATCCTAAACTCTGAACCCTAAATCCTAAACCCTAAAAACCTTCAACCCTAAATCCTAAACTCTGAACCCTAAATCCTAAACCCTAAACCCTCAACCCTAAACCCTAAACTGAGCCTGAAAGATGACCAGGCGACGGCCGAGAAAGTGACGGTGTCTCTCTTTGCTACCTGGCCAAAGTAAGTGTGGATTCAGGTCAGTGTAGGGTTTAGGGTTGAGGAGGGTTTAGGGTTGAGGGGTTTGTAGGGCGATGGGCTTGGGATGCATGGGCTGCATGGGGTCTATAGTAGCGATTAGTCGAATTTGTTTCAGGGTTGCTTCGATGCAGCCATGTCTGTGAAGGTTTAGGACCATTTCAGGACTCCTACACGCTACCGCTAGTCCCCATGTGTAGTACAATGATAAGCCCGATTCAAAGTTTTTTGGCCCCTTGTTTCCGGGTACTGGGTACTACCTGAAGGACCAAATGACCCTTAAAAGTAGGGGCCCTATACCCATATACTATGAATCCCTATATGGTATATGAACCTTAACCCTTTTAGGGTTCATTTCGTCCTTAAGGTAGACCCTAACAGCCTGCACCCTCGAACCCGAACCGCTAAATCCCTAACCCATCAAATTGTCAAAATCCAAGGATGCCCAGTAGTACCCTTATTCCCCTTTTTGTAGTCCTAGGTTCCTTATAAAGTTACCCAATACCAAAAAGAGAGGCCTTTTTATTCTTAGGTTACTGGGTAACCTAGTCCATCAAATTTTCTAAATCCTACGCCCCCAGCCCTGAAGCCCTCGCACCTTCGACCCAAATGGCTGACCACGGCACTACTCTGAAGGGTTTGCGCCTTTCAAGGTGAGGGCCTTTCTGGGTGCTTTGCTTATGCTTGCCAGCGGAGGCCTAGCAGTAGAGTAGGTAACCTCTAGCCTTTTTTTGGGTAGTATAGTCCCTATATCACCAAAAAGGTTAGAGAACCTTTAGTTCCCCATGATACCCGACAAGTAGGGAGGGGCTTTCGACTCAAAAGACTCTGATCTGAATGTAAGGCTTTAGAAACCTTATAGACTCTAAGCCCTAGAACCATTCAGGTTGGTCTTTCGGACCCTTGTAACAATATTCATCTTGGCATTTCGCTCTATGGAAAGAAGATATACTTGGGGTTATGTTATGTCTGCACCTTGTAGATACGGTGGGTGACAACAACCGTCCTGGTAGAACATAGCCTACCCGAAGCCCCCTAAACCCTAAACCCTAAGCATCCCCGAAGCTTGAGCTGCTCATTCAGGTCAATGGCATCTCCATCACGCACAGAGGGAAGGAGGCCGAGCGAAGACCTAGTTTTGCTACCTTAACCCCAAATAAGTAACCTACTTGTTTTAAGGACTTATAGAAGGAAATCATAATAAGGAACCTTAAGAGGGAGGTTTAGTGCCTTTAGGGTTTGAGGTTTTTTGGGTTCTTAGGCTTCGGGTGGTTTGAGCTATTCAAGTTTTTCTAGGCTTTAGACATTCGGTGCTCTAAACTCTGGGTTTTGCGCTGTGGGGTATGCTATGGGGCGTTATGGTTTCTAGCTTTTCGTGCTTTAGTTTCTGTAGTGCGGGGTGGCCGTGGCGTGAGCATGTCGGACATCCACGAAACGAGGCCACAGTATAACTAAAACAACCGCTAACACCTGAACCCTGACCCTTACTTGAAGGCTCATGGGACTTGGTAAGTAAGGTTATAAGTAGGTTATAATTAGGATAACCCCACTTAGGGGACTTATAACCCCAATTATAAGCTACTTACTAAGTCCCATGATCCTCTAAGTAGAGCCCCAGACACTGATAAGCGCCAATCTGACTCCCAAAACTCCTCAAGTCTACACCGCTGATCCCACTACCATAAGCCCCAACCCTCTGATTCAACCAATCGGAATCCCTCGTTTTGCAACCAATACTGAATGTAAGAAACCGAGAAGACTCCCTCTTCATCATACAGCTTTTCAGACGTACTAGAAACAGCAGCTGTAAAGGTAAAAGTAACCTTTATAGTGATAGTGCTCGCGATAGTGATACTAATGGTGACGGTGGTGAAGATCAGGATAATGTCAATATAATGCATGATAGTGATGCCAACAATAATTGCAACAAGCAGCCCTGTAATATCAACAGTAAGAATGGTACTGTTAGTAAGAACAGTTCCTTGGGACTGGGCAGCAATCCTTAACGTGTCGGGTTTATTTTACCATGCTAATCACCAAAATTAGATGATGCTAGCGCTTATGTTGGGCCGGAGAATACTTAATACAGCAACTAGATCATCCGCTAAAGCCCCAAATGCCCTGACACGTCGCAACAGCATTGCATACCCTTGTGAATAAAGTTGGCTGCTGTGATTGGTCAAGTCGCCTATCGTTGCAAATGCCGGCTACTGCTGGCATTGTCTGTTTGCCTTGGCGCCCGCCCGAACAGAAGGCACCAGAAGCCCTGGAAGGTCTCCTTGATTGAATTAATTGACCTGCCAAAACTGCGCTCTGTTCTGGTCTCTCTTGGCGCTTCGCAGGATCGACCTAATGTCTCCGCGCTGTGTCTTTTGGCACTGTCCACATGATCTCCGCGCTGTGTTCTGCCGGCACGGCCCGTGTTGACCATTTCTCACATCGCTGTGAGAACTTCAGTAAACCCCTAAACCCCTAAATCCCTAAACCCTAAACCCCTAAACCCTTAAACCCTAAAGCCCTAAAGCAACACATCAGTTCTGAGGCAGTTCACAGCTCAACTTAGTGACCGGGTTACCCCGTTCGCCTTGCACCGCCTCGTGCGCAACCTCAAGGCTGATGGTCCCTATACCCTAAGCCCTAAACCCTTATGGTACCTACTCATAAATACTTTTCAGAGCCCCAAAACTACAACCCAGTCTTGAGCGTGGACAAAAGCCCGCATCCTGCTTTGAAGCTTCTGTTTCACTTGCGGCCTAAACCCCAAACCCTGAACCCTTACAGGAGCTTTCAAAACTCCCTTAAAGGATCTCTGAAGGCCTAAGAGCTTTAAGCCCCAAGCTGGAAACCTCCAGACCGAAGTGCCCTAGCCCCCTAAACCCACGGACCGTAAAGACATAGAGCCTGAACCCGAGACATCAAAGTAGCCCTTCATAAAGGAATGAACCTTAAACTACATGGAGCTTAAAATGATGATTTTGACTACAGTAGTGTCCTTGAAAGTCAAAAGACAGCCGAGGGAGAACTTTAGGTTGTTTGGCTTTACATACGTGGTCTATCTTTCAAAGCTTGGTCTGGTTGTTGCCGAGGGGAGTTTCGGCGTATTTGGCCCTCTGGGAACGTAAACCCTAAACCCCAAAACTTAAACTACAAACACCCTTAAAGACTTAAACCCCAAGCCCGATAAACCATAAGCCCTATAAGACTTTGGCACTTATAACCTAAACCCTAAACCCTCACCCTTCAACTAAGTCCCATGGACCCTTTAAGTGAGTGCATAGATCCTTTAAAGGAGCCCTTCTAACTAAGTGCCATGGTCCCTTTAAGTAAGTGTATAGACCCTTTAAAGGAGCCCTTCAAACGAAGTCCCATGGTCCCCTAAACCCTAAACCCTAAAACCCTAAACCCTATAGATCCTGTAAAGGAGCCCTCAACGAAGTCCCATCTGGTCCCTTTAGGTAAGTGGCTTGGTCTAAGCCTCCCTTAACCCTTTAAGGAACCCTAAGCCCTAAACCCTTATAGACCCCCTAAAGGAACCCAAGGAACCCTTATGGTACCCTTTAAAGGAACCCTAAACCCTAAACCCTAAACCCTTAGGTCCTTGAAAGGAACCCTAAACCCTGAACCCTAAACCCTTGGAACGAAGCCCCATGGGTCCCTTTAACTTAGGGGTACTTAGAAAATTATAATTTTTGCTAGGGTTCTAAGTTCAGTATAGTTAAGTGCTTGGTCCCCTTGTTAGACCGTTAGACCCCTTATAGATCCCTTAAAGGAAGCCTTTAAGGAGCCCTATTGGAGGAACCCTTGAAGCTAAGTCCCTTTAAGTGCTTGCTAAACCCGGAATCCTAAACCCTAAACCCCTAAACCCCTGAACCCTAAACCCTAAACCCTTATAGATCCCCTAAAAGGAACCCAAGGAACCCTAAACCCTAAACCTTTCTAGATCCCCTAAAAGGAACGCACGGAACCCTTATAGTACCCTTTTAAGGAACCCTAAATCCTAAACCCTATGGATCCTTGAAAGGAACCTTAAGCCCTTGAAACCAGTCCCATGGGTCCCTTTAACTTAGGGGTACTTAGAAATATTTTCTCAATTTTGGTCATTATAACCCCTAAGAAACAGCTAAAATTATAATTTTTGCTAGGGTTCTAAGTTCAGTATAGTTAAGTGCATGGTCCGTTTAAGTAGCCTACACTCCCCTTATTAGACCCCTTGTAGATCCCTTAAAGGAAGCCTTTAAGGAGCCCTATTGGAGGAACCCTTTAAGCTAAGTCCCTTTAAGTGCTTGCTAAACCCGGAATCCTAAACCCCTAAACCCCTAAACCCTAAACCCTAAACCCTTATAGATCCCCTAAAAGGAACCCAAGGAACCCTAAGCCCTGCGTAGGTCCGGGCCTGCTTCTCGCCCTTCACGCTCGTCCGGAACTGTAAGTTCCAGGCCCAGCCTTTCGGCCTTGTAGGGTTTCGGATTACTTAGGGTTCCTTTAAGGGATCTATAGGGTTTAGGATTTGAGGGTTTAGGGTTTAGGGGTTAGGATTCAGGGTTTAGGGTTTAGGGGTTTAGGGTTTCGGATTTAGGGTTGCGGGTTTAGGGGTTTGGGGTGTTTGGGTTTGGGGTTCTTCTGGTTGGCTCTTTAGACTTTAACTTTTTGGGTTTCTATATGAACTATAATAAGGAGGCTAAAAGTTTAACTTGTAGGACGGGTTCAGAAGTCCGCCAAGGTTTGGGGTTTAGGTTTCAGGCCAAGCTTTCCGGGCTTTCGGGGCTTTCTAGTAGTAGAGTTAGGGTTTAGGGGTTTAGGGTGTAGGGTAGGGTTTAGGGTGTAGGGTTTCGGGTTTAGGATTTCAATGTGGTTTAGGATTTAGGGGTTTAGGGTTTAGGGGTTTAGGGTTTAGGGGGTTTAGGGGGTTTAGGGGATCTCAAGGTAGCTATATTGGGTGGGGGGGGGGGCGGGTCATAGTATTCAGGGTTTAGGGTTTAGGGTTTCAGGGCTGGGCACTAACCGAAGCTTCAGGCCGGGTCATCTTTATTGAAGAGGTGTAGGATGTTTTTGAGGGGGTCGTGGTCTAGCATGAGCGGTCTGCAGGGTTTAGGGTGACTGGAAATTTAAGGCTTGGTGTTGAGGAGTTAGCATTTCAGGATTTTCCAAGAAGTAGAGTATGTGGAGCAGAATTTCAGGTTGAGGATTTCAGAGTTTGGGTTTCGGGCTTTTCGGTCGCGGTGTGGGGTCTCCTAAATTAAACCGAAAGAAGATGCTTAGGAAGGTTTGGGTGTAGCTTTTAGGGAGTTGCAATTGCGGACTGTCAAGTGTCTCGATGCGAGTTGAAGATGAAGTGTCTGGTTGGTCGTCGGAAGGCCCGATTTGTAAAAGCCCGAAATCCTTAAACCCTGAACCCAGCGACTCCAATATCCTTTATTTAAGGAATGTTCCTTAAATCATAGCCTACTATAGTTTAAGGTATATTCCTTAATTAAGGGACATTGGAGTCTCTGGGAATTATCGAGTGCATGACCCGGGGCCCTCTCCAAACCGAAAGCAACCCTGAAGCCCTCTCGACCCCGAGAGACGTAAAAACTGAAGCTTTCCCCAAACCTGAAGGCCCCAAAGACTTTTCTCCGAAACTTCTAAACCCTGAACTGCCCTAATCCTTCAACCCTGAACCCTAAAACCCTACAACCCTAAACCCTAAATCCTAAAACCCCAAACCCTAAAGCCAAACCCTAAACCCTGTGCCCAAAACCCGGACCGGTACCTTTAAAGGGCTACTATAAGGGTACTATAAGGGTTCCTTTAAAGGGCGCTATAAGGTTTTAGAGTTTGAGAAAATTCGGGCTACCTTATTTTGGGATCCTTGTTATAGTGAGGATCCTACTTACTATATTAGGGTTCCCTGTTTCGGAAACTCCCACGATTCCTGGAACAGCATCTAGCATTGACAGCGGTGATCTTCAACCACGCTACACAGAAAGCAGAGGCGAAACGCTCAAGGAGTGCATTCAGAGTTGTGGCTGCTTTTTCGCTGTGGCTTGTCCAGCCAGGATGACATGGTCGGCAGTAATTACTACGGTTGATGATATAAACCCTGAAATCCTGCTTTACCCACACTAAGGAATATACTAGTACCATATTTCCCATAGTTTAGGGTCAAAAATGTAATGCAGGATTTATGTCATCAACCGTACAACCCAGGCCGAGGAGGGCGACGCGAAGCCTGCCCGCGCAAATGCTATGCCTGAAGCGAGGGCACTCCGTCGAATCAGCCGGCCAAGGGTCCCTTCCTGAAGGACCAAATGACCCTTAAAAGTAGGGGGCCCTATACCCATATACTTAGAATGAAACCCTATCTGGTACATGAACCTTAAACCCTTAAACCCTTTTAGGGTTCATTTCGTCCTCAAGGTTCTTACTGAACTTTATTGAAGTCTGGGGCAGAGTCCTTGCTTCACTACGTTTGAGATCTTTCGAATACCAAGTTGTTACTTATCGGCTTGAGCTCCCAAAGTAGGTACGGTACGACTTGTATGCTTAGAGCAGGGGTAAAGGACAAAGAATCCCCCGAAAGACCTGTATAAATCCTACTTCCTAAACTTCCGCCGAACATTTCCTGCATGACATACAGTACCTACACCCTGGAATGTAGTGCTGGTTTTGGCTGCCCGATTTCCTTCTTAGTGTAGTAGACCCTAGCCATACCGCAATTACGCAAGTAAAGAGTTGCTTTATAAGGTCTAGGCACGTCGTCAATTACCCCATTGCGCCCTTATGCCATTGTTTAGTAGTGTCCTCCTAAAACTCAACCCTCACTATCACAGGGATGCCTGCTAACCTAGACAGCACTGCTCCACTAGTCAGAGGGTTTTACGTGGTAGACGCTGGGAACCTGGACTTACCTGTGAGGACTCGACGTCCTGCAATCAGCTGACAGTCTGGAGCTTGGTAAAAGTTGTTGGGCCCTAAACCAAGATTGCCTAGGCCCTTGTACTGGAGGATGTAGGTTATTTTGGCAGTTTCATGGTTATGCATGGGTTGGCGGGCCCTACAGTATTGCGGATGATGGTTTGGGGTCCTTTGAGGTCGCCGGGCTTGCTTCAGACTCATGTAATATGGGTGGTTGTCAAAATTATGGCCCCTTTTGGGGTCCCTAATATAGCACGGCACCGAATAATTAGGGTATCTAAAAGGGACCATAATTTTGACCACCACCCATGTAAAGGAATCCTTTGATCGCTTGAGAAACCTCGGCGACCTGGACGGTAGCGTAGCTTTCGAGATCTGCGATCGCAAGCAGATAGGGGAGTTTCCGAAAATAGGGGACCCTAATATGGTGCCCTAACTAGTAGGATCCTTATTATAAGGACCCCAAACTAATGTACCCCTAATTTTCGGAAACTCTAGACCCTAAACCCTTTATAGAACCCTTATAGATCCCTTTAAGGAACCCTTATAGATCCCTTTAAAGGTACCCCTTAAACTCCCAAAGTGAGTCAAGAAGAAGCCTTGGAGGAGGGCCTACAGTAGAAGCCAGAAAGTTGGAATATGGTTTCAGGGTAGGATACTCTATAATTTACCATAGAAGCGTTAGGATAATCATATTCCAACTTTCTGGCTTTTACTGTAGACAATCGGCTCCCGGCGAAAACGAAAACTCACCGGATGAAGCCTTCCAGACAATGGCCGCGTCCTTCTGTTGATATAAATCCTAGGCTTCCCTTTAAAAGGATCTATAAGGGTACCTTTAAGGGATCTATAAGGTTTTAGGGTTTAGGGTTTAGGGTGATGATATAAATCCTGCATTACCTTAAGGACCCTAAACTACGGGAGTAATGATTATGGGTAATGCAGGATTTGTATCATCAACCGTTCCACGGCTTGGGCGAGGCTTACAGCGGAGGGTTCCAATGACTCCAGTATTTAGTAGCTGAGTGGATACACTTTACACTTTTGGGGATAATATTACCCAGTATAAAACTAAAAGGGTACACTTCTGGGGGTCTTATGAACTCAGCAACTAAGAGTATCCCTTAATTAAGGAATACACCTTGACATTACAGTAGGATTTGGAATAAGATTTAAGGAATAGTCCTTAATTCACCCTAAACCCTAAACACTACAGGCCCCTTATAGATCCCTAAAAGGAATAGACATATTCCCGAATTCAGGGATATTGGAGTCTCTGGGTTCCTGGTGCCCTCTTACTTCCTGCCTTTGGCTTTCGCATTCGACCTCAGAGGCACCTGGTGGATTCTCGGCCATAGCTCAGATACTAGTAGAGGTTCAGGGGTTAGGGGTTTAGGGGTTTGGGGGTTTCGGGGTTTAGGGTTTAGGCGCTTTGGGGTTTACGGTTTAGGGGTTCAGGGTTCAGGGGCCTTAGTAGGTAGAGCAGGTTCCATAAAGAGGTCTATAAGGCATCTAGAGGTTCTATGGCATAGGGGCCTTAATCATTCGAATAGGGTTTTGAGGCCCTTTACATTATAATTTTATTAAGAAACTTTCTAAATAGTATACGTAGTTATGTAGGCCCCTACAGTATCGGCTTTGGATCGGCATTAAGATCTGCAGGAGCTACAATCATGGCTATGGTATCCATGGTATTTGGAACTCATCTTTGCAGACTCGTTTCAGACTTGCTCACCTGTCGAGAGACTTGACCGAAAAGCATCAATCCCGCCTTGTGCCATGCCTCAGTGCCTTGTGTCCTAAAACTTAGGACTCGGATGCGTCGCAGGTCTTTTGGGATTTAAGCTGGGATGAATAGCTCGTGTTTGGTAAAGTCTGTTTTGGGATTTGGGGCGTGGGGCCGCGCCAGTTGTTGGCAATCGCTTTTCCAAGGGTCTCTCATCCAGGGTCCGTGTTAGTTTTTTGTTTCATTCGCCCGAGGCCCTAAACCCTAAATCCTTAACTCTAGTCTAAACCCTGCACAGTTAAAAGGAATGAACTATTGTTGCGTGGCCCAGGGCGGTACTGATTCGCAGACATAAGCTGTGCACTACGGGTTGGCTTCTGCCCTGGTAGGGCTCAAAGAACCAGTCTCGAAAGCCGCAGTCGTGCCCGGACATCCTCCTTGAAGCTCTGTCCCTAAGCTCTAAACCCTACACCCTAAACCACGGTTTACTGTAGGGTTTAGGGTCTAAGTTCCCTGAGCCCTGAACCCCTTAAGCTTTCAGACTAGTAAACCCCCAAACCCCAAACCCGGGACCCTAAGCCTTCAGACAGCCGGCTCAGTCGCTGAAGATTTTCAAGATTTTCTTCTTCGTCAAGAACCTTTGCTACTTCTTTGGCGTGTCTCGGCCATGCGGAGTGGATAGGAGGGGTCTGTGAGATAGTATCTACATGAGTTCAGCTAGCACTCGTTTGGGAGAGCTGGGATATTTTGATGACGGAAAAGGGGGACAAGACAATGGCTATTCTTTGGAGTTGTTCGCAATTTTGACAGTGACCTCGACACTGACGATGATAATGTTGACTTTATGTTTACTGGCCGGCAGATGCTCTGTCTTGTTGATGAATACACGTACGGTGGCGCTGGTTGATAGTGAGATGGAGTATGTGATAATGATGGGGCTGCTGGTGGTGTGAGGATGACGAATCCGATACCGACAGCTGAGGAAACTCCATCGTGATTTTTACTTCAGGGGTGTTAGGGGGTGTTGAGGTGTGTTCGGTTCGGGGCCTGGAATGGTAAACCGGAGCCGGAACTCAAAACCCAAAGCTGAATCCCTGCCCTGGCGCCGCCTCGACACGGAAATTTCTCGGCAGACTCATGGCGAATCAGCTCTGTTATAAGGCTACATGAGGCTAGAGTGAAACCTTCTGGAGCTACTATAGGGGCTCAAAAATTACCAATATATTGTGGTGGGTTTCCTTAATAAAAGTATAGTATATAACAGGCCCCGAAACCCTATTCTAATTATTAAGGCCCCTATACTAAGTCTGTAGGGACCAGACTTCCCACTCTGTTTTTTGCACACAAACAGGCTCTGCTTTCTGCGTACAAGCTTCACTAGCACCCTGAGCCCCGATAACTAGACCACCCAGAGACTCCAATATCCCTTAATTAATTCAGGAATATTCCTTAAATTATGGTAGGATCCCTAATATGATTTAAGGTATATTCCTTAATTAAGGGGTATTGGAATCTCTGACCAGGTGGCTCCTGCCTTAAGGACCAAATGACTCTTAAAAGTAGGGGCCGTGTACAATTATACTATTGAATCCCTACAATGTAGAGGAACCCTAAACCCTTTTAGGGTTCTTTTCGTCCTTAAGGTAACACGAATTACGCTGAGAACTTATTACAACAGGCCCTGGACTAGACAGCAAGAGACATCAGGAAGCCCTTTGACCCTCTCCGAGACACGTGCAAGGCCCCCCCCTTGTTTAGGTAGGCTTTAGGGCTTTAGCCCGCTCAATCTGGGCTCTTCCTAAGGAATTCAGTTCAAGTTTCCATAATCGAGTTCAGGGTTAAGGGTTTTAGGGGTTTAGGCTTTAGGTTTCAGGGTTTAGGGTTTAGGGGGGTTTAGGGTTCAGGGTTTAGGGTTTAGGGTTAACGAGCACCAATAAGTCTTCCAAATCCTAAACCCGGAACCCGAAGCCCGTATAAACCCAACGAAACCCTGCACCCCCAATGTCGCGGCCTTCATAGTTGGAATAGGGTTTTGGGGATCCCTCATTATAATTGCAGTCTGAGACACCCCCAAACCCAATAAAACAAGTTAATTATTAGAACGACCCCCCAAACCCCGAGAAAAGCAAACCTCCAGAGCGGCAAACTCCTAAACCCTAAATCCCGAGCCCCTTAATGCCCTAACCCCCCGAAAACCCTTAAACTACTGTATCATAGTCGGGTAACATTTTATGGTACTTAAACCCAATAAGGAATAAAACTATTTAACGTATCATCCTATCCCAACCATGAACTAGTGTTGATGGACAAAATCCTGCATGACCCTAAGGACTCTAAACTATGGGAACTATGGTATGTTCCTTATAACGGGTAATGCAGGATTTTGTCCATCCACAGTAGTAAGCCCCAAACCAAGCCCCAGCCCTAAAGCAGAAAGCCTCTTGATCCGACGAAAGGATCCTACTTGGAGGATCATGGGACTTAGTAAGAAACCCTAGGATTCCTTGAAAGGGCTCCTTTTTAAGGGGTCTATAAGTCTATAAGGGTTCTATAAGGGGGAGTTTAGGGAACTTAGAGGATCATGGGACTTAGTAAGTAGGTTATAACTGGGGTTATAAGTCCCCTAAGTGGGGTTACCCTAATTATAACCTACTTATAACCTTACTTACTAAGTCCCATGAGCCTTCAAGTGGAGTCCTAAAGGTTCCGGCCGAGGATGAAACCGAGGCCGACAAGGCGGGTGTCCCGGGGTAGGGCTCCTCAAGCGTTGTAAGGGTTCCCCTAAAACCCTAAACCGTAAACCCTAAACCCTAAAAACCTAAACCCTAAAACCCTAAACCCTAGGGTTTGGGGTTTAGGGGTTTAGGGTTAAGGCTTTGGGCATGGTGGTTGAGGCTCCGTAAGGGTTTTCAGGGCTTCCTCACTTAGGACCCCCAACTACCCTCTAACAAAGGGTAACGAAGGGTTCCTGAGTTCTGCACGGCTTCTGAGATGGTTCTATTGTGGTGTGTATAGGAGGTTGGGGTAGTTTAGGGGTCTGGAGGGTCAAAATCTGGATCTGTATGCTCATGTGATCCTTGAAAAGGCATAGATGGCATGGCGTAATGTACCGCTCAACCCTGTTGTAATTCTGCCTGCTCCTATATTAGGGTTGCTCAAGGGTTCCTGCACCCTTTTCAAAAGTCCCGAGAGCCTAAACCCTACGCCCCAAAAGTCGTAAGGGGGCTCCTATGAAGGAAGAAGAAAGCGGGTGTAAAGACTATGATACCTGCAGCGACTGACAAGGCCGAGGTGCCAAAAGGCAGCGCGGAAGGACGAGAAACCGGAGAAGCTGATCGAAGTGATGACGCACCTGGCCGAGGTTGGCCAGGGAGGCGTCAGCAACTTGAGTCCGTCACGGCTCGTGGCTGCTGAGACACCGTACGTGCAGCAGGTTTTCGGACATGGATCAGACGGAGTGAAGTGAGGCCCGCCACACACAGATCGGGCGGCCGTGCAATGGGGAGAGGGCTCTCGAGCACCGTCCCGTTAGCGTGCATTCCCACAAGTTGAAAGTCATTGCAATGATGCTGGTGCCTGGCTCAGGCAAGTGGCTACAACAAATGGCCCCTTGGGCAACACAGCCAAATTGACAGTAAACCCTTAACCCTAAACGAGTGGGGGCTCACGGACAGGTCATTATGTAGAATGTAGAGGTCTGACCAATTGGTACGAAAATCCGCGTTGAATCCTTGTAGATGCCCAGTAGTACTCCAATTCCTGATTCCTGACTGTTGCACAACATAACCCTCGCAAGCCCTCCTGACCCCTAGCTGCGGAGCCAAGGAGCATTGAAGAACCTGAATCCTAAAGCCTAAACCCTCAACCCTGAAAACCCGTAGCCCTAAACCCTTAACCCGTAACCCCACGAGGTTTTTTCGTTTAGTGGCGATGGCAAGCTCTGTTTCCTAAACCCTACTTAGAGGATCATGGGACTTAGGAGGTAGGTTTCCTTAAAGGGTTCCTTTGAGGGATCTATAAGGGTTCTATTTTTATTTGGGAGTTTAGGTCACTTGGAGGATCATGGGACTTAGTAAGTAGGTTCTGAATGGGGTTATAAGCCCCCTAAGTGGGGTTATCCTAATTAAAATAACCTACCGATAACCTTACTTACTAGCCTTTAAGTATCCTAAAGGAGACAACCTATCAGGCCTGCTTGTGCCCTCAAATAGGAGTATATGGTTCCAAACAATGTGAATGGAGGGTCTAGGTATGTAGAGTGGCTTTGAGGGTTCTTTAAGGGTTCTCTATAGATACTAGAAGGTTTAGAGTTTGGGGCTTGCGGACGACAACTACCCCCTAAAATGGCTTAAGGAACATCTACCACAAAGGAACTTACAGTGCAAGGGTAAATGATTCTAGGGGTCGTTTGGCCCTTGAGGCTCAATGACCACAGCCGTCTGAATCAATAGTAACCTCATCCCCTTTCAGTCCCGATATACTGCATGTACAATGTATCCCTGAAAAGCTTATTCTAGCTGATTCGCAGACCGTTTTGTATGAAGGTGTAGAATGCTAACAGACCCGAGATTCCAAACTCTGAACCCCATAGAGCCTCAGAACCTTATAACCTCTGCAGCCCATTTATGGACATGTGAGGCCAGGAGTAGTTTGCACGGGCATCAGGCTACATCCACACAAACACGTAAACAGATATGCACACACACACACACACACGCACACACGCACACACGCACACACGCACACACACGCACACACACACACACACACACACACACACGCACACATGTACATACAGACCCTGCGCACGTACATACACATACACACATACATACAGACAGACGCCCATGTCCAACTACCTATCTGCTTGATTACTGATTACTGAAGCACCTACCTCCCTACTTGCATACATACTAGCTTGCACGCTTTCATGCATGCCCACATACATACTTACGTGCTTGCTCGCTCGCTCGCTTGCTTGCTGAGTCACTTACTTACGTACATATGTACTGGCTTACTTACGTACTTACTTTGCTGCATGTATACATGCATGTATGCATACATGAATGCACACATGCATGCATACATACGTACAGGGATACATGCATACAGCTGCCTACGTGCATACATGCTTACATGAATGTGCTATGACATGCTTACTTGCATTAGTACGCGCGAGGAGAGACAGTGCTGGGTTTCAGATATCGCCAATGCGGTCCACTTGGTGACGCCTGTGTCTCATGTGTTGACGGGTTCGGTGCGGGCTCAAGGGGTTTAGGCCTTTCAGGGTTGATGTTCAGGGTGTAGGCTACTCAGAGACTCCAATTCAATATCCCTTAACTAAGGAATACTCCGTGAAACAAATATTAGGGATCCTACTATAACTTAAGGTATATAGCTTCATTAACCTATATGGAATCATAATTAGTAGTGTTCCTACTACAAGTTAAGGTATATTCCTTAATTAACCTATATAGGAGTCTCCGGGTTATGTGGGGTAAGGCGGATTCAGGCTTGCCCTACTTAAAGGCTCATGGGACACAGAAAGTAAGGCTATAAGAAGTAGGTTATAGTTAGGATGACCCCACTTAAGGGACGTATAACCCCATTCAGAACCTACTTACTAAGTCCCATGATCCTCTAAGTAACCTAAACTCCCCCAAATACAAATAGAACCCTTGTAGATCCCTTAAAGGAACCCTTTAAGGAAACCTACCTACTAAGTCCCATGATCCTCTAAGTAAAGCTATAGGGTTCGGGGACGGCCCTGGCCAAGCGAGATGCGGCGTTGGTGGAAGCTCGGGCACTCGAGGTGGTGTAATCTCGACAGTGCGTGCCGTGCCAGCTTCCAGGGATCTGCAGATAGGCCACGGTTTAGGGTTTAGGGTTTAGGGGTGCCGCGCCAGCTTCCGGGGATCTGCAGATACTTGTCGAGCCTTGTGGCGTTAACGTCAAATTCTCAAGATGCTTGCATGCACTGGCCGTAGTAATCGGAGACCCTACCTATGCTGCCTGCACAGACTCGACTGCGCATGCTTCACGAACTACTGGCACGGAGAGCTCTGAAAGGGGTTCTTCTCTTCTGTATATTTAACGTACAGAGTACTCGTGTACTCACACCAGTGTTCCAATTCCTAGAAAACGCCCAACGGGACTTGAAGTTGGCGGATGCTGGAAACCAAATTGGCAACAATGTGGGCTTAAATCCTAGTGAATATTGGCTTAAGCTCTGGATGAGGCTTAAAAACTCTAAACCCCCTTAACCCCCTAAGCCCAAACTCTGGATGAGACTATGCAGGAGTGTGGATTCGCTGACCCAGCAGCATCCTCCTGACGATTTCCGGGGTCAAGCCGATTGGGGACTTCACCTCCGGCCCTTCAAACAACATTATGCAGAAGTACTGTAGGGGTTCCTTTAAAGGGTTCCTTTAAAGGGGCCTATAAGAGTTACTTTAAGAGATCTATAAGGGTACTATGATATAGGGGCCTTAATAATTAGAATAGGGTTTTCCTGCCAAAGGCCAATCCCAAGGGTCAGGCAAATCGAAGACTCCACTCCCGATCCAAGACACCCGCTGGCCCTGCCTCATCATCTGGAGCCCAGTAACCCTTAATTAAGCAATATACTTTAAATCATAACATGAAGCCCCTTATAGTTCATGGTATGTTCCTTAATTAAGAGGTATTGGGCTCTCTGGGCATCTGGCCAATCATCATCGTCTGAGACTCGCCGCCGAATAAGCAAGAGGAAGAAGGCCAGCCAGCATAACGAGAAGAAGCACGGCAAGGAGAAGAAGCAAGCCAAGTTTAGCAACCAACCCTAAACCCTATACCCCTAAACCGGTTTGCTTTCTGTATTTTTTGTTTAAGGGCTTACGGCTTAGGGAGTAAGTCATTAGTCTTAGCCTCCAAAACCTTGAACCATACCCTAGACCTTAGAAGCTGCCCCCACCCTGTAATAGTGACTATAAGGATTATATTAGGGCCCTATTATATTCCTATTATTATTATACCCACTATTACAGGGTGGGGGCCCCTTCTACCCTAGACCCTAATTCCGGAGAAGCAACCTCGTATCCTAAGGCCCTTTTTCCTTCCTTATCTCAAAGGGTAAAAGGAGGGACCCTTAATAAGGACCCCTAGGTATATACCCTTAATATAGCCACTATATACCTGTCCCCATCAAGGGTCCCTCCTTTTTCCCTCCCTTGTCCTTCAGAAGCCGAGACCCTAATCCCTGAAGCCTTAGGTACCATAAATTCCAATAACCCCCGGCGGTTACGGGATTAGGGTTTAGGGTTTAGGGTTTAGGGTTTGACTTGAGGGTTTAGGGCCGGCAGCTTTGTACTTCATCATCTTAGGGTTCAGGGTTTGTCGGTTCAGTTCAATATCTCAGGAAGGGGCCCCCACCCTGTAATAGTGACTATAAGGATTATATTCCTATTATACCACTATTACAGGGTGGGGGCCCCTTCTAATCAATATCGCCCAGGTAAGTGTTGGTTTTGATGATCCCCAGCTACGGTTTGGGGGAATTTCGTTTCGCAGAAGCAATATACCCTGCACTTCAGATCCTACACCCTAAACCCTACACCCTAAACACTAAAACATACACTGACACCTAGGGCCGTCAACCCGAGAGTCCTAAATCCCTCACCCAACACCCTTTATTTTAACAAACATGAACACAAAGTGGGACCCAATGCTGCTGGATGTAGTATAGGGTCCTGAATGCTTAGCAGTTGTGTCAGGTTTTATGCCCTACAGTCATAGTCCGCACATAATCACACCACAACCAGAAACCGTAATCCTTCTGAGTCTTCCAGCCTCTGTGCCCAGGCAGTCGCTGTTTCCTCCCTTTAGCATATCCTGTGAGTCCGGAACTTAGTTAGGGGCTTTAGGAGGTTTGGGGTTAAGGGCTTCAGGGGTTCAGGGTTTTAGGTTTGTTGGTGTGCGTTGGGGGTGTATGTCTGTTTGTGTGTGTGTGGTTGTTTTTCTGTCGTTGCCTTTTTGTCAGGATTTAGAGTGTTGGATTGCTTTGTGGCTTGGGTTTAGTTTAATGAGTGCGTGTGTCTGTTTGAGTTTAGCTCCTTTGGGGTGTCTCTGTTCTCGTGAGTTTAGTGTTTCTGGTGTAGCCAGTCTAGTGTGTTTTCGACTTCAGGCCCTTGGGGTTTGGGTTGGGGTTTAGGGTTTAGGGTTTAGGGTTTGGAGTTTAGGCTTCTTTGTGTGTTGCTTTTTTTGGATTGAAGGTTTTGAGGTTCGGAAGTTTTGGGTTTTGCGGGGGTTTCTGGCTGTTTCGGGTTAGGGCCTGGGGTTAAAAGGTTTAGAGTGAATGGCTAAGGGTTTAGAGCTGTTTGCTTCTGGGGTGGAGTGGCAGTTGCAGGTTTGATATTGGAGCCTAACTGTCTGCAAGGCGGTTTCGTTTCACATTGTCTTTGGTCATGACTCATGACGTTGTCCTCCTCCTTAACCTCCGGTCTAAACAGTTATGCCAGCGGCATTCAGGGTATCCAGTGGTCAGTTGTCGTCGCCGTCGTCTTCGTTGCTGTACCCTAACCCCTAGGCCGTAAACCCTAAACCCTTAAACCCTCAACCCTAACACCCTAACCCCTAAACCCCTAAATCCATAACCCTAAGTCCCTAACCCCTAAATCCCTAACCCCTAAATCCCTAACCCCTAAACCCTAAACCCCGAAATCCCTAACCCCTACCCCCCTAAACCCTAAAACCCAAAGCCCAGAGCATCGGTCTTTGGCTGGCGCCTTGCGAACCTCATACTTCAGGGGCCTCAAAAGGTGGGATGAAGGTAGGTGGGGTAATTCCAAAATAAGAGTCCTTATACTTACTGGCTGTAAACTCAACTTTTCAACTTTTGGGGTTCTTACAAAGTAGTCGATTCTGAAAGTTTCAACTTTTGTTCCCTTGGGTTTTCGGCCAGTGAGTATATAAGAGATCCTTAATCCGACCTACCTTTATCCCACCTTTTGAGGCTTCCGAATACTTTAGGGCCTGAATAATTACCCAGGGTTCCTTTAAGGGTTCCTTTTAAAGGTCTATAAGGATTACTTCCAGGGGTATTCTGGGGGGGGGCGGGGGGGGTTAGTATAGGAACCTTAGTAATTGCCTATGTTGGGGGCTCCTTATTATAGTTATAGAATAATATACCCCCAAAATCTTATTCTGCTTATCAAGGCCCCTATGTTACTGTACTACAACGGCTAGGGTGTCAAGATTCTTGACTGTCAAGATGAAAAAGGAGGCTACCAAGGTGGCTGTTTGAAACCGGCTTTATAGATATCAGGCTTAAGTTGCCTAGGATGCCCAGTAGTACCCTTATTCCCTTTTTGTAGTCCTGGGTTCCTTATAAAGTTACCCAATACCAAAAAGAGAGGCCTTTTTATTCTTAGGTTACTGGGTATCCTAGTTGCTGAAAGCCAAAACGCGGAATCCTAAACCTCTGAGCCAGGGCTGTCTTTGCCAAGTGTTGTTCCTCGCGTAGCGCTTGTGCTGGCTCATCGCGTGAACCGTATGAGGTTTGCTGGCTCAAAAACCGGTGCAGAGTTAACATCTGTTACACGAGACTAAGGCTCAGCCCAAACCCTGAACCCTAAACACCAAAAAAGCTAAACCTCAAACCCTGATGCGTAGGGTTTTAGAGTAACTGGTGAACCGGTGCCAGCCACGAAACCGTGAACCCCTCAATCTCCAGAAGGCCTCAACCATCCTCCAGCCCCAACCTTTCGCCACAGTTAAGGTAGCATTTTACATCTTTATGGGTACTTAAACCAAATAAAGAATAACTATGTAAATTTTCAATACTATCCCAACCACGAGATAATGCAGCGTCTATATAATCCTAGTTTGGGGTTGAGGGTTTATTTATATAGGGGTTAAGCAGAAGCATCTCTGTAGAATCTTAGTTTTGGGATGTGGCCTTAGGGTTCTTAGTTCAGGGATGTGGGCTTCGGGTTCAGGGTTTAGAAGCACCCAGCCGCATTCGTTGCACCCTCTAACAATAATCAGAGGCGTGAAAGCAGTGCTTGGGTCTGAACGTCTTGAAGCAAGCCAGCAGGAGCCACACAGCAGTGGCAGTAAGAGTAAAGAGCCATACACCCTCAACTAAGCTCCCTACAATCCTAAACTTCCTAAACCCTATTCTAGACTCCCCAGAAGCCCTTTGAGACATCAGCAATTCCTAGAACCCTGGCTTTTTCGATTCTGAACTATACTCCATAAGATCCCTACATGTTCTAAGTCTAAGCCCTACTTAAAGGCTCATCAGATTATAAGTAGGTAAGTAGGATAGCCCCGCTTAAGGCTTAGGGGACTTACAACCCCAAGTATATCCTACTTGCTAAGTCCCATGATCCTTTAAGTAACCCACACTCCCCCTTATCGAGCCCTTATAGATCCCTTGAAGGAAGCCTGTAAGGAACCCTATACTTACTAAGTCCGATGATCCTTTAAGTAAACGAAGCCTACGCAGGCCGATCTGTGCTGCTGCTGTTACCGCCCGTCGGCTGATGGCAGGTTGGTGCCTTAGCTCTCGGCTTAGGATTCGGGTTCAGGCTTAGGGTTTAGGGAAACCTACATCCTGGTAGGGATATTACAATGTTCTAAGGGTTCTTAGTCTAAGCTCTGGGCGGCGCCCAAATCCTTGTCGCCTAAGAGTCTGCAAGCTTAATGTCTAAACTTTGAAGCGTGAAAATAATAGATCGAAACCTAAACCCTACTAAATCCCAAATCCTAAATATTACTAACCTGACCCCTAAAGCTTCGATCGTAAAACCTCAACGCAAACCCCCAAATTTACAGCACATTTATCGCCCAGGGTCCTCTATTATGGTTCTTATTTCCCAAATCCAAAGGCCTCATTCCAACAATCCTAGACATTAAGCACACTAGATTGCTAAGTCCCGACACTGACAGAAATCGTACGCCCCAAATCAACATTCAAAATACTAAAACTTAGAAGGGGCCCCCACCCTATAATAGTGGTATAATAGGAGTATAATAGGGCCCTTATATGATCCTTATAGTCACTATTTCAGGGTGGGGGCAGCTTCTAACCTAAAACCCAAACTCACCCAAGCCCAAGGCCCACATCCTAAAACGGAGAATCCACGTTTCCTTCATCCTCGTTGGCCTTGCGAGGATACGTGCTGTACCATAGCGGGGACGACGCTGCATCCTCGGGCTCAGGGGTGACTATATTTAGGGTTTTGGGGTTTAGTGTTACTATACCGTAAGGCCCCATAGTAGTTCCTTTTTGGAGGCTCATATTTAGAATTTTGTGAGGTAATCCCAAAAAGGAACTATTATGGGGCCTCTGGGTAAGCTATAGTCCCCTTAGAAATTACAGCCGGGAGCAGACAAAACCCAAGGGAATATTGAACATATTATGTTTACTGGGGGTGTGGGGTTTATGCGGGTTTGGGGTTTATACGGGTTTGGGGCTATGGACTCTTGGTTTTACTGTCTTAGGTTTGGGGTTTGAGGGTTTACAACCCTAAACCCCTAAAGCCCAGGCTCCTTCATAGCATAACTATATATATATATATATATATATATATAAGGACCCCTTAGGAATAGTATTAGTAATCGTTTAGGCTTCTATAGTATGTTGCTGACGTTTTAGAACCTGCATATTAGTCTAAGGCCCGAAGTTCGAATATGGTTTTGCGGGTTTTTGCATGTAGAACTACGTACCTAAATTTACATACCAGGCCCTCGACTCAAAAAGCTCTAACAACATGCAGGCTACACCCGGGACCTCAGCTGACATTACCCCTAAGTCCAAGCCCTGACGTCCTAAACCCAGCAGCCCTAAACCGAAACTCTACTCTAATAATTAAGGCCCCTAGATTACCACAAAACATGTAAGCCACCTGAACCCTAAACCTTTGACGCCCTAATCCCCAACCCTCAGAACAGGAAGCCCTGGACCCCATATAGAGTGTCTAAGCCTCCGAAGCCTAAACCCCAAAAGCCCCAAATGGAAATCGCCAGAATCCTTTCGAGAGTCCCAGAAGCTTCAATCAAGAGCCTTCAAAGCCACAAAGATCCCAGAATAGAAACCCCAAGCCCTTATGGAAACCCTAAACCCTATATACGGAACCCTAAACTTTAAACCCCCTAAACCCTAAGTCTAAACTCTACCAGAATCGAAACCCCAAGCCATTCAGGTCGCGACCGGTTGGTAATAGTAGTTATAATAGTACCAACCAAAGGTAACCCTAAACCCCAAGCCCCAAGCCCCAAAACCCCTAAACCCTAAACCCCTATATAAACCCTAAACCCTAAACCCCAAGCCCCAAGACCCCTAAACCCCTAACCCTAAACCCTAAACCCTAAACCTCAAGCCATTCAGGTCGCGACCGTGCTCTACGGGGAGCTCTCGCCCCACACCCACGGTAGCGACCTCGCCAGGCCGATCCGGTTTAGGGTTTTGGGGATTTCAGGGCTTGGGGTTTAGGGTTTAGGGTTGATATAGGGGTTTAGGGTCGAGTGTTTATGGTTTAGGGGTTTTGGGGCTTGGGGTTTAGGGTTTAGGGGTTTAGGGTTGAGTGTTTAGGGTTTAGAGTTGAGGGGTTTAGGGTTGAGTGTTTGGGGTTTAGGGAGGTTATATGGGTAATTCTGAAAATTAGGGTCCCGATTAGGGTCTTGGTCCTAGCGCTGCCGTACTATCTTGGGGGCCTAAAAAGTGACCCTAATTTAAACATATAGTAGTTGAGTTCATATACTTTACACTTATGAACTGCGCAACTATGTATCGGGGCCTTAATAGTTAGAAGATGGTTCCTTCAGAGGGTTTTTTGTTAAAGGGGTCCTTGACGGCTACTATACGAGTTTGTAAGGGTTCAATGTAGGGACTTCTGAATTCTTAGACTACGTGTTTTGGGTATATGTTTCTTTGACTTATAGTAAGGAACCCTAAGGCCCTAAGGACGAGTACTGGTAGTTATTCCTGCTTTTATATTATGGGATCTGGGATTGTTGGTTTCCTTGAACAGGGTCCTCTACGGGTACCAGGAAGGGCTCTACAAGGAGTTTTAGGGCTTAGGGTTTGGAATTGAGGGCTTGCAGCTTAGAGTGGGGTTTTGGGTTAGGTGTTTAGGCTCTAGTTTGAGACTGTGTTTCGGGTGTGAAATTTGGAGTTTATAGGCTCACTAATAAGTACAGGTTAAAGCTACTGGGGAGACATAGCGCAATAAGGTTTCTAGTCTAGTCTCTAGGTTGTTGGAACATGTAGTTATAGGATCCTTAAGGGATGGTGGTTCAAGGGGGGAGGGTATAAGGAATCCTTAGGGGACTGTAAGGGAACCTTAGGGAGTACTAGGGAGAATTAGGGATCACTAGGCTATATACCCCCTTGGACCCCCCTCCCTTAAGGATACTATAATTTACTCATGGTGCCTCTCCTTGCTTTAAGACAGCCACACATGGGTAGTTCTCTGAATTAGAGTCCCTTTTAGGTCCCCAAAATGGTACGGCACCCTTATGAAAAGGACCCTAGAAGTACGGTTGATGATATAAATCCTGCATGACCCATAATAAGAAATATACCATAATTCCCATAGTTTAGGGCCCTTAAGGTCATGCAGGATTTGTATCATCAACCGTAGGAAGTGCTTCGTTCGGGTTTTGGGGCTTCGGGTCAGGAGCTGAAGCTTCCGGGTTTGGGATGTACATTAGAAGCTGCCCCCACCCTGTAATAGTGGTATAATAGGGCCCTAATATAATCCTATATAATCCTTATGGTCACTGTTACAGGGTGGGGGCCCCTTCTAAGATGTACAGTTCAGAGTCGAGTGTAATTGGGTTTCAGGGTTCAGGCTCTTAGGGGTGTTTAGGGTTTAGGTTTTTCGGGTTTATGTAGGTATTAGGGGTCGGGATCTAAGGGTTTCATGAGAAGGAGGACAAAGGAATTTGTTACAGCTAGTGTTGAAGCCGTAAACCCTAAAACCGACCCGAACTCCTGAACCCCATGCTCATGAGTATACATCTGCGAGCGGTAGGAGAAGCTTTGCACGGGGCAGGGAGGAAGCGAGGTTGGGAGAGAAAGAATGAGGTTGAGTCAACACTCAGGCCTAGGCGCTTGATTAGGGTAGGGGTTTAGGGTTGAGCGCTGCTCTATTTAACTATGCTGCTGCTGCTGCCATTGTTCCTGCGCAAGCAGCGGGGCCTCCAAATATGTGTAATCTAACGTTGGCAGCAGCCACAATTAGCGGCGGATGTCGACAAACTGATACCGGATCATGTAGTATAGGGGGCTGTCACAACTAGTGATGTACTCCCCTATTATGGCCGTTTAATGCAGAGCCCTGCCCGAGACTCTAAACCCCCGCCGAAGAGCCCTAAGCCCTAAACCGCGTGAGGCTCGCATTCTACGAAAATGAGCAGTGCCAAAGACTGGCCATGGAAATTTGGATCTCCGTGGCAAGCAACTGCTTCGAGAAGGCAGGTGTCGTGGGTTGAGTGCTTTGCTTCAGGGTTTTTTTCGGAGATACTGTGGTGTACTATTGCTGGTGTTTCGTTTCCGCCTTTCCGTGCATTCATTATGGCTGCTGTTGTTGTTGCTGCCGTTGCCGCTGCCGCTGCTGCTGCTGCTGACACTGCTGCTGACTCTGTTCGTGTCATCACTGTTGTTGCCGGCTTGGCTTCCGGCCGAACACAACAACTATGCAGACCCCACAATGTAAACCGCAAAGTCAACAGCCCAGGCCCAACACCAAAAGCTTTAAAGTCCCAAACCCAAACGCCTCAAAGCTAAACCCCAATGGATAATAGAGGCCTTAATAATTACCTATAGTATTTTTTTGGGGGGGGTCCACTTTATAATGCTGGCGTTTATACCCCCAAAGCCTATTATTAAGGCCCCTACATTACTTATTGATGTGTGTCTCACGTTGTCTGTGTAGCTCGAGAAGCAAACACCTCGCTGCTGTCGAAGGATTCGACACTGAATTCAGGATCTGTTGGTTGCAGGTTTTTGGGTTTTAGGATTTCTGAGAGTTAGGGTTTCGGGTGGAGGCTTCTAGGTTTGCTGTTTAGGTTGGGGTGATGGGTTTCGGGATAAGGGTATACTATTCTCTTTGCTGCTTATGCACTTCTGCCAAGAAAACGAAGAATCATTAGTAGTTGTGCATCTGCTGCCACTGTTGCTGCTGCTGCTCCTCCTCCTCCTACTACTTGTACTACTGCTGCTGCTCCTGCTACTGCTGCTGCCGCTGCTGCTTCCACTCCTACTAGTACCACCACTGCTACCACTGAGTTGTTGTCATTGTGGGGTTGTAACTGCTGCTGCTGCTAATGCGCTGAGGATGCTGTGGTCATTGGCTTGCTCCTGCCATTCGTCTTATGGCTTTTGTGGAGAGTTAGGTGTGCAGACTTTTGTGACTCCACTCCTTATCTGTACCCGACATCCCGAGTGGGACAGCTTATATCGACAAAGCTAAGCCCTCGAAGAGGCCGAACCCTAAACCACGCAGACGGGAGAAGTGTTTTCGATTGGGTACGGCCCCCACTCAGTAATAGTTGACTAGTATTCATAATATATATATATATATATATACATACTAATATATAGATATAGATATATTAGGACCTTAATAATAGCCCTATTATAGACTCTTACTGTAAGGGGGCCGTAAGTTTTCGACACTGCGATCTCCAGCCTCGAGGCCGAAACCTTTTAAGGTTTACTTAGAGGATCATGGGACTTAGCAAGTGTAGGGTTCCTTAAAAGAGCTCCTTAAAGGGATCCTTTAGGGGATTAGGGTTTAGGGATCGATTAAGGGATCTATAAAGGGGGGAGTTTAGGGTGCTTAGAGGATCGTGGGACTTAGTAAGTAGGTTATAGATGGGGTTATAAGTCCCTGAAGTGGGGTTATTCTAATTATAAGCTAATTATAACCTTACTTACTAAGTCCCATGAGCCTTTAAGTAGGGTTTAGGGTTAGGGTTAAGAAACGAGCCTTCAGAAAGGTGCAAGGCAGTGCAAGGCCTAAAGGCCAAGAGCCTTTACAAGCAACGACGAATCCCGACAGGAGCTCTGTGACGAAAACAGGTCGCCAGCAAAATGACGTGTACGCCTCAATAAGCACAGATCGCAGGTCGGCGTCGCGTGCACGTGTTTCTGCATCAACGGCCCGAGCCCGATGGGACATTTCTCTAAAGGGTCCTTTTTCGGGTCTTGTTGATTAGGGTGCCGTACTCTTTTGGGAACCTAACAAGGGACCCTAGTTTGGAGAACTACCCATACTGGAGGATACTGAGTGTTAGAGCGTGGCTATTGTACAGCAACTGTTTGAGCAAGGATTTTATCGCATATTAGTGCTTACGGTTTGGAAAAGAAGTGGAGGGTTGAAGCTTTAGAGCTTAGGGCATAATTACTAGAGTCCAAAATAGAAGCCTAAATAATTCTTGAGTCTAAGTATTCCGTCGGGCTCCTTATTATACGGAAACTATATCCTGAGACAGCAGTTTTGTTATTTCTGCCCCTGCAGCATTCGGCGTGTGGAATTAGTGTGCAGGGACTAGAAGCAGGAGCTAGATCGGGTGTAGGAGTTGCCAAAATCGGGAGCTAAAGAATGTAGGTTTAGGGCTTAGGGTTTAGGGCTTAGGGTTTAGGGTGTAGGGCTTTTGAGGTTTCAGGTGGGGTTTGGACCTTGGGAACAGCGTCGAGGGCCTAGGAAGACCTAGACCCCCCAACTACCCTCTATTCAAAGGGGAAAAGGAGGGACCCGTAATGGGGACCCTATAATGGGCTATACAATGGGCTATACAATGGCTATATTAAGGGTATATACCTAGGGGTCCTTATTAAAGGTCCTTCCTTTTACCCTTGGATCTACTATATCCTAAATACCCACGGAATATACCATAGTTCCCATAGTTTAGGGTCCTTAAGGTCATGCGGGGTTTTGTCCATCAGCAGTATTAAGGAGCATAAGGGCTCCATTAAAGGGCACTTGGGGGGTCCTGGGAGGGTGTTGGGTTTTGGACTGAAGCCCAGACCTTTGGGAGGATCTAGAAAGTAGATCCCTTAATTTGGGGCCCTATACTACTAAGGGCACTTTATAGGAACCACCATTACTACTAAGGGTACTTTATAGGAATCCGGAACCACCATTACTACCAAGGGTACTTACGGACCCCGCATTACTAGGCTTTATAGGAACCCGGAACCCTCATTACTAGTGAGGGCACTTAAGAGGAACCCCCATTACTGCTAAGGGTGCTTTATAGGAACCCCCATGACTACTAAGGGCACTTAAAAGGAACCCTCATTACTACTAAGGGCACTTAAAAGGAACCCCCATTACTACTCTTGATGATATATATCCTGCATTATCTTAAGGACCCTAAACTATGGGAATAATTGCATATTCCTTATTATGGGTAATGCAGGATTTTTATCATCAGCCGTACTAAGGGTACTTTATAGGAACCCCCCATTAAGGGATCGACTTTTGGGATCCTCCAAAGGGGCTCTTTGGGAGCTTGGCCTCTGATCCTCGTGCCGAAAGGGAACCGAAGAGTCCACTGGTGGGTTCAGGATTTAAGTTGTAACATAGGGGTCTAGTGTTTAGGGTTTAGGGTTTAGGGATTTAAGTTGTAACATAGGGGTCTAACTATGTAATTACCTAGGGTTCCTCTAAATTACTAAAGGGTTCCTCTTAAAGGGGGTCTATAAGGATTAGTATAGGCAGTGTTATGCGGGTTTAGTCTTGGGGGCCTCAATAATTACCTATTCCTTATAATACTTATAGTGTAATGAGCCCCCAAACCCTATATTACGTAAGGCCCCTATATTAGGGGAGGGTTCAGGGTTTAAGGTGCAAGGGTTTCGCCTCTCGTAGGGCTCATCTACCCTTTTGTTCGTGGCATCCTTACTTACACTCACTCTGAGCAGCACGTTGCATGCTAGCGCCGTAGCCGAATAAGTTGCCAATTCTCCTAGAGACTCCAATATCCCTTAATTAAGGAATATACCTTAAATCCTATTAGGGATCCTACCATAATTTAAGGAATATTCCTTAATTAAGGGATATTGGAGTCTCTGGGATAACTCCTTAGAGCTCCGTATTCTTGCCCGTCTTTCTAGAATAAATCCCTACGGGTCAATAGTAGTTCCTTTCTGGGACTACCTTACAGTCTATAGGATTCTATATATGTATTCTTGCCCGTCTTTCTAGAATAATTTCTCTAAGACTCAATAGTAGTTCCTTTCTGGGACTATTCTATATATGGACCCCAAAAAGGAACTACTATGGAGCCTCTGGGTATACCCCCCACACCCAATTCTATTTTTTTCAATTCTCGTACACCATGCCCCAAAACCCGATTCTAACTTCGCAGGCCCATGTGTTGTTCTCGTTGTGTCGGCTCCTCCCTGTAAGAGGATGCCCATCACCATCCTTGATGCAACAGAGCATCCGACCGAACTACATGTTTCCCACCTCCGAAATTCAACACAGCGTTACACCCTAAACCCCGCATCCCGCCAGCCCTTGTGCACCGATTTCTGCACCTCCGCGTAAGTAAGGTCACGACTTCTCTGCTCGCACAATAGCTGAAAGAAAGCTTTGGCATCGCACTCAGACAACTTAAACTTAAACGGGTTTTCAGAGCCTTAGAGGATTTGCATTCATGACGGTGTAAGTTAAAGGCCAGGGCCTTAAATTGTTCCTGAAAGGTCTAATGGTTCGGGGTTCAACAGAGTGTGCGTGAAGGGTGCAAAATGCGATGCACTTCAAGCACTGCTCCTATTAAGGCCCCAATCTTAACTTTTTCCAGTGCCCTTGACGAAGGTCAAATGAACTGCGACGACATTTGCTAGCCCAAGCTACGGGTGTTTGGCCTAAGATGGTGTAAGGTTATAGGCCCTGCAAGGAAGCAAATCCCAAATTAGGTAAATCATGGTCAAGCTCTCACACTTGCACCGCAAAATTGAACGAGTGTTTGGATAACACCTGCAACGCAGAATTGAAGGACTGTTTGGAGTTAACACTTATCGTCTCGGTCCTTTGTCGGTACCTGAACCTGATACGTAAAAGGGTGTCGGAATAATAAGTAATAGCATCCCACAGTATATCTTACTTATCCCTGTCCTACTTCTTTGAAGGGTCCCTAACAACTCTTGTCTGACGTTCATAGTAACACCCTGAAGCAAAGTTTTTGTCCAGTACTTGTGTTAAGGCAGCCTTCATCCGGTTTAGTTGTAGGGTGTCCCGAGTACAGCTGGATGGTGTGAACCAGGTACAGAACCTAAGCAATACCTTAAACTAAAACAATCTATTGTTTTGCAGGTTCCTAATATAAACTATAAACCCTAATATAGAATCTATAGGGGCCGTGCGAGCACCAGGTGTCGGCAGTTAAAGCAGCCCATGACTACAAGTAAATGTCAGGTCAGGATGTGGGGTTCAGGTTTGCGATTACTTAGCCAGCATTGAGTTTATAGGTTTATATAG